ATCATTGAGTTTTACGTGTCGCCTCATGTTAAAAGCTATTCAACAGCTAGAGAAATGCATTACAACGAGACTCAAACTCTAATATGTGCAATTGCTAGTGATCTGTTTGATGCGAGCGCAAATCCGCGCAGAACAAAATATTCAGCTTTAAGAGAAGAACAGGGAAGTGCTCACCAGATATATGGAGTTGACGAACGCTTCTTTCAAATGATTCAAGCCAAGGTGGAACCAATGCAGAGTAAGCAAACCCATTTTTACGGACATCCAACACACATAGAGTCCCGTCCCAACCTTCATAAATAAATAAATAAATAAATATAGATATGCATATTTTTTGAAATTAAAATGTGCCAAAGGTTTACAACCATAACTCAAGTGCTTACAGTGTATAGCTCGTGAACATTGGAGTAGCCAGTGAGGTTGTGAATGATTGTTCTCCCAACAACCACTAAAAATTAACCATAATGATCGATTATTATTCATAATGCCGTTACTTGCAAGACAGCACCTGGTACAAGGAAAAGCAAGCAGCTTGCAAAACAGCATGTTACCGCCATTGTTCCGAGGAGGACCAGAACACGGAGAGGGAAGAAACGAGGTCGAATATAAGGTTGAAAAGCTTGCGGTTCACGAAGGAGCAGTAGAGCCTAGATTTAGAATGTTAACAATTTAGCAGAAGTGAGAAGGCAGTTCTAGACAAACTTGATGTTCTGCAGCTAAACCACCAACTCCTTGTGCTCCAGCTCCAGCTCCCGCTCCATCATGCTGATGTTCAGGATTTGGCAAATCAGGCAGAAGATACCTGACAAGTACATGATCAACAATAGAAATACTACACGGAAAAAGTATAAACGTTTGTTCACACAAGTCGCCTTCAACCAGAAAAGGCAAAAAAACCTACCTATCCAAACTGAGGGCACCACCCACGTGTACGCACCACCACATTACTATCGTTTTTAGCAAGAAGCGGGCTTGTGTTTGCTCAAGCAGAGCAGGTAGCACCACCTTTAAAACCAAATTATCCTCCAATTTGTTGGATGAAAGTATAAGAAAAATCACCTGTAGAATCAGGAGTTCAAGAGATAGTTCGCTCAAGGGTGTATCAGCAGAAAGGCTCATATTATAGGGCAACAAAGATGAATATAGCTTTTGCACAATAACCAAGGGAAGATAAACGATAAGAAAAATTGTTGTAAAACACAGGGACTGTAAATATTTCAAACAGTAACAAGTAGGTGGAAGTGAAAGAATAGAAAAATACTTCTGAAGCCGAGATCAACATTGAATTTTAATAATGAAAACACTTACCGTAGAAGCCACAAGCCGTCGCAAATGGCGAGTGACGGGCAATTCTATCATCTAAAACTTTATTAATCCAAATGAGCAATAAATTACACATATTAAATTGACCTACTTCTTGAATTGGATTAAACTCAGGATCATTCAAATTTCGCATGAACCACAATACTCCGGGGCGCAAAACCTCGCGCAAAAGCAGAACAAAGGACGCGAAATAAAACACGTACACCTGCACATCGAATCTTTGAAAAATTAAAGAAGAAAATTATGAGTCTTACCATGCCGATCATCCAGTGAATAAAAACTGAAGAGGTGGGAGACGCAGCAAACGAGGATGCGCGGGATGAAAGTGATGCAGAGAATAGTTTCTGTAAACCAGCATTGATTGCTCAAAAAAATTTCTGCGATATAAAGTCGTAAACTCACTAAGGAACATAGATCCATCCAACAACCG